CTTTCGCTGTTTCTTGCTCTTTTTTCTGGTCCATCTCTCCCTGACTTTGCTTAAGCCACTCTACCAAATTTAGGCTTAATCTTCGTCTCTTCACCCTCAACTCAATATGCTTATACCCTTCCCTTCCTTCAAGGCCCAATCTGAACATCTATAGTCTTAAATAAATTAAGTTAGGACTAAAAGAAATATCAATCTTTAGGAAAGGAAGAATCTTCACAAAAATGGGTAAACAGTCTTCATTATACTAACTGTATACCTACTGAATTTAGTATCATTAACATTATGGCATTGGAACATGGGGTGAAAGACGTCAAATTTCACGTGTGTGGGCCAGTTAGCTTTCGTTGTATTCTCTGACCAGAGTCTGGGCCCCTATTGTAAAAACACATTTTTGCCCAGCAATGAACTACTAGGTATATTCCAAAGAAATCAAAGAAAAAAGATATAGATCCTTTTATACAAAAATCAAAAAAAATTTTTTTTTGTGATGGCAAAGAAGTGGCTCTAGAACAGTGATCTGCAAACATTTTTGATCGCATATCACTGTTAGAGATAGATAGAGATTCAATTGGGGAATGGCTGAACAAGTTATGGTATATGACTATGATGGAATACTATTTCACTTTAAGAAATGATGAAGGAGATGACTTCAGAAAAACTTCCAAAGACTTATATGAAATGATACAATGTGCAGCGTGGAGAATCAGAAGAACAATGTACATAGTAACAGCAATACTGTAATGCTAATTAAATGTGAAAGACTTAGCCACTCTGATCAATACAATGGTCTGTGACTATTTTAGAGGACTCATGATAAAAAATGCTATCCACCTCCAAAAAGAGAACTGATGAACTCTCAATGTAGACTGAAGTACATTTTTCTCTTTTTATTTTTCTTTCTTTTTTCCCCACAACATGGCTAATGGGGAAATGTTTTGTGTGACTTCATATGTATAATGGGCATCATATTTTTGTGCTTTCTCAATGGGTGGGGGAAGGATGAAGGGAAAGAGAGGATTTGAAAAGAAAAAAATAAAGACAAAAATGTTCTTGGTCATAAGAATTTGTTGATGGAACAACACGTATCTGTCATCACTGTCTAAAAATAACTCAAAGAATGTACTTTATTAATGAAGGGATTGTGTCATTGTCTTAGCTGATGAAGATCAGCTTTACTGTCACTGATAATTTTGATTAGAGCTCACAGAAATTATCTTAGTGGGTAAATAGTTTTATAAGCTTATTTTTGAAATGTTTTTGAAAAATGCCTTCTTGATGACTCAAGACAATGTTTGAGCCATTGAATATTTATGTGCTCCTATGAGTAGATCAGGATGGTGGCACTTTTGCTCCCATGACTATGTACATTAAATACAGTTTAGATAGGACCATTTTCTCATTTTTCCAAAGTGCCTTAGTAATTGATTTACGAGAGTCTCTGGAAGCCATCTTCCCATGTTTGTGGCTCTAGAACAGTGATCTGCAAACATTTTTGATTGCATATCACTGTAAGTAAAAATTTGAATATGCACCCCTGATATAGGTGTATTTACTTATTAATAAATTATATACATATACTATTTTGTAACAATTATATACATTATAAAACTTACACAAAAATGGAAATTAAAGGACAAAACATAGATAAAATATTTGCTCCTAGAGTCATTTGGGAGCTACTGGAGTTGAGCAGTATAGTAAAATGGTCAGATTTGCATTTTGGGAATGTCAATTTGGCAGCTGTGTGGAAAACAGGTTAAGAGTGAGAACAGAGGATTGAGACAGGGAGACAAATCCGGAGGCTATTTCAATTGTCCAAGCAAGAGGTCATGAGAATGATAGTCCTAGAAGTGGAGGGAAGGCAATGGATAGGAGATACATCGATGAGGTAGAAACAATGAGACTTGGAAAACAACTGTATATGTAGTGAATGAGAATGAAGAGTCAAGGATGACAGTGAAGTGGGAAAACCGGGTGATTGAAAAGACAGTGATTTCTTCAGTAGAAATATGGAAGTTCAGATGAAGGGTAGATCTGGGGGAAGAAAGATAATGTAATGAAATCTACAGTGTAGGAAACAACCCATCCATGCCAGCTCACCCTATGCAACTCACTTTCCTACACAAAATAAAGAAGAAGAGGAGGGGCTCTTACTCACTAACCATTACCCTAAGCAATAGGACCCACTCTTCCAGTGATAAAGTGATCTGGGGAGCAGAGATGTTGCCAGAGCAATTATATCAGATGCCTATTCAGTTACATTATATAGCTAACAAACTCTGAGGAACCTATAACCAAATGGCCAAAGGTTGTAGGGGGTAAAATATAACTGTAAAGTGATTTGTAAAGGGTTATGATGTAGTAATGTTGGAGATAAGATCACAAGAGCTATTGTGGGGAGAAGGTTGGCTATGACCCATCTTCCCACCCTCCAAATAGTTGATCTTAATCCCTTGGGGTCATTCTATGGTCCTCATTTTTTGCTCTAGACTAGACCCTACCTCAGGTGAAAACAAATACAATTCTTTCCCCATTTTCTGTATACTTTGACATTTCCTTAAATGACATTTACCTCACTACTTCAAGCAATGGTAATTTTGTTGGTGTGCATATTCCCTCTGCTAATGTAGATCTTAACTGCTTTATAACTTATGATCACAGGTTCTTGGAATCACCAATTTAGAACTGAAAAGGACTTGAGAGGTTATTAAGCCTAACCCCATCACCTCCCCCCCAATTTGCATATGAGGTGAGGCCCAAGGAAGTTAAGTGACTTGTCAGGGTCACCTAAGTAGTCAGTGTTGGAGGCAGAATTTGATTCCATGTTTTCCTAACTCTAAGTCCAACACTCTAACCATTGTACCACGTGGCCCTGAGATAGTCTCCTATTGCATGTACCTCCCATCTTACACAATATATACACCCCATCATTGGGCCTACACTCAAAGACTTTTCAGCCTTTCTTCAAAAGCTCTATTTCCTTACAGCCCAGGCTAACCTCCACACTATCATGAAGCATTTAAGTACAGCTGGAGGTAAATGGCACTGATAGGAGAATAAACAGGATTGGAAAAGAAAGAATAGAAACCATAGCATTGCTCCAAATTAATGTCCTCCATATTATATTTTCAAGGGTGAGAACAAATTTTCCATGTATCCTACTTGAGTTTTGTCCTTTTGTGTAAGGGCTAGGATATAATAGATGGCAAAGTGACAAATAAGATTAATAGGCAAATTTAAAAACACAGCTGATTCATGTTACCATACCAGACAGAGACCTAGTGGGGAAAATGTCCATGTTTCTGTAGAATCTGAAGTTGTAAGTATGAGATCCAAATTGATATTCCTATTCTTGGGACGGGTGAATGGAGAGAAAAAGTGGGGAGGGGAATAAAATATGACAAAATATTCATTACAATTCATAAATATTTAAATATTTAGCAATTACTCTGAAATCTGTCCTAAAATGACATTTGTATCTCACATGTATTTATGCCTTCCAGACCTGGTTTATATTTAACAGTATTGTGTGAAACTTTGCTTAAATAATGAAGGCCTATGGGATAAGGATGATGATGATGACGAAATAATAATTTAAATTTATATAGTACATTACAGTTTACAAAGCATTTTTCTTGTATGTTGAGGAAAAGCATGGAGAGGGTAAGACTGAATCCTGTTTAGGAACTAATATCAAAACTATATTCTAAATTGCTATTCGTACTCTTTAACATAAAGCAAAGATGGCAGCAAAAGTATGAGTATCCTGCTTGATACCCCATGAGTTTAGTGGCCAGAAAAAAAGCCACGTGACTAGCAAAAGACCAAGATATTTCATCCAAGATGACTGGTAACCAAAATAAATGAAAAATATAACCAAACTGAATAGAAGTAAAATGTAAATCAATCAAGAGACTTTTTCCCATCAGAGTTCCTCACTTTCCACAAGTTTGTTGCAAATGTTTACTATGAAAAAACCTGCCTTATTAATCCCCGGATGTTAACACCAGAATCTAAGATACTATCTGGTTTCAGAGACATCTGATAGGATAATGCAGACAGGCAGGAGGAGATATACAAAACGTACATAAATATGTAAGATATAAAATAAAGGACTGATGGAGTACCAACAACTAGAGATCTCAGGAAAAGCTTTATGGAAGAGGTGGCACCTCACCTGAGTTTTGAAGAAAGGATTTCGATACATGGTAATGACAGAATATATTCCAGGTATGAGCCTTCATAAATGAATGCAGGCAGGAGATGTACTACTGAGTTCTAGAAACAATTAACAGACCAATTTGGCTAGAATATAGAGTTTGGGAAGAGAAATAGTAAGGAAAAGGCCTGGAAAAGTAGCCAGAAGTCAGTTTGTGGAGGTCCTTAAATGTCAGACTAGGGCTTTTTTATTTTAACCTAGAAACAAGTGATTAATGTAGATAAGAGTTGGTTATTACTTCCATGATGTTGTTCTATTTGGGTTATGAATTTTAATGTATTTTTCAATGTATAGAGGACCCAATCACAAGTTAAGAGAATCACAAAAATACTATGTGTAGAGCTGAAAGGGACTTCAGAAGCTAATTCACTCTGAAGAAGAGAAAACTGAGACACAGGAAGGTTAAGTGACTTGTCCAAGGACATACAGATAGTAACAACAGGATACTGTTTTCAAATGTTAAGTAGGTCAACCCAAAAAAAAAATTGTGAACTGATGGTTTTCCCTATTTTAAAACCAACCTTTAGTAAGGATGGCTAGTTTATACTCAAAGTAAATATGTGTGTGTATTTTTCTTATACATTTATTTTATATATATAATTTACATGTATTTACTTTTTATATAAATACACACATATGTGTATATCAATATACATATATACCCAGAGAGGGGTGTGTGTGTGTGTGTGTGTGTGTGTGTGTAATTGTTATGATTTTGTTTATCTGTAGTTTTCAAAAGGATTTTATTTAGATAATGTATAAGGTGATAAAAATGGCTTACCTTTTCATGTTTGTGTTTCTCCTTTTCTTTTTCTTTTTTCTCCTTTTCTTTTTTTTCTTTTTCCTTCTCTTTCTTCTCCTTTTCCTTTTCCTTCTCCTTCTTTTTCTTCTTCTCCTTTTTGTCTTTCTTCTTATCTTTCTCTTTAGGCTTTTCTTTTTCCTCAAACAACTTTTCAGGAAGAATTGGGGACAAGGAAGGCAGCATCGATGGCAGTCTCATTGCTGTTGCAGGACTGAACATGGGCAAAGCCATTTCTTTAGGAGGTAATACAAGTGGAGTTGATGGAGCTTTTATCTTATCTTCCTTTCCTTTATCTTTCACTTTCTCTTTCTCCTTCTTCTCTTTCTCTTTTTTGCCTTTTTCTTTTTCTTTCTTTTTATCTTTGTGCTTCTCTTTCTCCCTCTTCATGATGCCATCCTTCAACCTCACTTTTGCATCATCATCAAAGTCTTTTATTTTGAATTTGTAGGGATCTGAGTCCTCATCTTTAATAAGGTCCTTCCAAGGAAATTTTGTTTCCCGGTTGACTTCTTTCTCTTTCTCTTTGATTTTTTCTTTCTCTTTGCTTTTCTCCCTGCTCTTTTCTTTCTCCTTCTCTTTCTCCTTGTCTCTCTCTTTCTGTTTTTCTTTCTTTCTCATTTTTGTCCTAAGCTCCTTTTTCAATTTTTTTTTCACTTCCACTGATGAAGCCAGTTTGGTTTTCTCTTCATATACTTTGAGAAGAGGTTCTGGGGTAGGGGGAGAAGCAGAAGGAGAAGAGAAGTATGGATAATTGGTGGGGATATTGGAAGGAGTTCCCATGTTTGCTTTCCGAATAACCTCATCAATGGAATCATCCATTGTCCATGAAATATCTGAGCTTGAAGTTCCCCCTGAAGGAGGGATAGGGGTGGATCCAGCCTTATTGAAACTGTTGGAAGATACTGAGGCTTTGGGAGTAGTAGTCTCTGAAACAGAAATCCTTTTAGGGCTAGTAAAAATTTCTCCTTCTGATTCTGAACCTGAGGAAAATTCAAAGGGATCTGGTTCACGTTCAGCACAAGCTCGCGCAATCACAGCATCAATGGAGTCATCAATAGTTTTATCAGTTACAACAACCTTCTTAGATTGATTCTCATTGTTCAGTTTCCCAGAATCAGGAGGTGTTTGAGTTTGTTTTACTTGGATATTTTCTTTACCAAATTTGTCACTTAATGCAGCCAAAGGAGTTCTGTTTGGTGTTTCAGCTTTGACTGGTGCTTGAGAAGTATGAATTAGAGCTTTGGGGCTCTTGGGACTCTTGGGACTCTTAGCACGTCCAGGTGATTTTTTCTCTTTGGAGACAGTTTTTGGTGAACGAATAGGACTTCCAACCATTGCTGGTGATTGAGAGGTTTTAGGTGATTTTATCTTTTGTCCAGGAGAGCTAGTTTTGGCCTTGGTTTTGGGTGTTAATGTTTTTGTTTCTAATGTTTTTGGAGTTGGCATCTGTGATTTTGCAACTGGAGCCAACATTGGTGGTTCTGGTGAGGGAGGGGCTAAGTCTGCACTGTCTTGAACATGAACTGGAGATAGCATTGGTGGAACCTTTTGAGTATTTATTGAACTAAGTGGTTCTCGTGGTTCCAAAATTACATCAAGGGTGTCCCCTTTGGTACTTGCCAGCCGTGGTCGTTTCATGGCAGGCATTTCTTCAGCTTCAGGACTATCCAATGGTCTCTTGCTCAAGAAATTCTCATCATTAATGGTCTCATCCTCCTCCATCTCTCCTTCTTCTTCCAAAGGAACTTGCATGGCTTCTGCTGATGTGCCCCCATCTGTAGGTACCTGCTCCTCTTCTTCCTCTGTTATAAAGCAGAAAAACAAAAATTGCTTTTGGAGTTTGCCTAATACATAATAACAGTGCCTCAGAGTTGGATTACTAATAGACATCTATAATAGGTAAAGTAATATAATAGAACACAAAAGCCTCTCCAAACTGCAAAACCCAAACAGTATTAACACTGAGAGAGAGAAAAATAGTGAATATGTAAATTATAATGTATAAACAGAATAATATAAAAATAATCAAATTCTATCATCAACTAATAGCATTATTACTGGATGTCTTAGAGGCTGTTAAGAAGCTAGCTTTAAAATCCTATATAGATATAGACTTGTGTCAAAATAAAGACCTCACATGTTTTAGCATAACTATAAAATGCACATAAATAAGGTAATATTGAAAAGCTTGAAATGATACAGCAAGTTAAAGTAGAACATCTTGACAATGGTTTATTAAAATATTTTCCTTTGCACAGCTACATGTATAATAATCATTAGGTGATACTTATTGCAGGAAAAGGACATAACATTATATGTTTTGTTTCTACCTTTTCCATAAATGCAGCCTTCAGAATTTTTAATCTAGTACTTTTCAAGATTGCAGAAATTTATTATAAAGCAATTAGCACAAAGTAAGATAATAAATTTATCACATTCAGACGAGAATCTCCAAAAAGCTGAGTGTGTGGATGGATCTCAGGAGATCTATTAAAAAAAAAAGTTTTATTTTCACTAACCTCTAACTGAGATTATTTCCTTCAATTTCCTTCAATTATGAATGTAGGTAACAAATACTGTTCTGAGAAGGGTCCTTAGGTTTTAAGAAACTGCCAAAGAAGTCTATGACACACAAAAAATTAAGAACCCTTATTCAAAAGAATCAGTGAATCTAATTATCCTAAGACTTACATAGTATTCATTGAATTATTGAAAAAATGTAAATTCAATTGTTTAAAAAACAGACTAGGTTGAAGTAATGTAAATGAATAATTGGGGGAGGCAGGGTTGAAAATATACATAAACTGAATGTAAACTTGTAAGACAAAAAAACTCTGTAACTTAATAGCCTTTTCTTCCACATAATATTTTACTCTTGGTACTGAGAAGTTCAGTAGCAACTCAACTGTAGAAGTATAGCTGGATAGTTGTGTTCCTATAATTTAAGTTTGATACAGAGGCATCCTAGCACAATGAATGCAATGTTAGATGTGGGAGCCAGGAAATGTGAGTTAATCTCCTAGCTCAGTTGCTCAATAATACTTTGATTATGGGCAAGTAACATGTAAGAGCCTCAGTTTCCTCGTCCATAAATGACAATAAAACTGACACTTCCACCCTCACAGAGTAGACTGTTTTAAGAAAAGTACTTGACTACATTTAAAGAATCATATAAATATGAGCTATGCACTAAAGTGTACAGCACCTTGCTTTTCTACCCTAGAGGTTGATCTGGTCCTGGATCAGTTCTCTGGGTAAGAATACTAAGTAGGTGAGCCTTATCTAGAAACACTGTGAAGAAGAGAAAATTTTTGTTGTGGTGAACTAGAAAAAGTTCCACCTATAGAATCAGAAGAACTACACTCAAACTCTACCTCTAATACTTGCTACATCTGTGTGATTTTGGGCAAGTCATTTCCCTTCTTTGGGCCTCCGTCTTCTCATCTGTAAAATGAGGGAGCTGGATTAGATGGTTTCAGAGGTCTCTTCTAGATGTAAATCTATGATTTTCTGAGCCTTCTGAATGAGCTGAGCTAGAGATCCTGAGTGAGATTAAGCTAGTTCCAAGACAGAATCTGAGTCTGGGTCATTTCTAGCAAGGGCATGGGCTGGCTTCAGAACAAACCAGATCTTTAATGCTCCCTCTGGAGATGTTTAAAGCTGTATTTTAGTAACACAATTCTAAGAAGTATATTATTTAGTTTTATTGGCTTAATTTCTTTCCTAATCATCTTTATTCATAATTATCTCAGTTTCAAGCACAAACCAGGAGATCTGGAATGAACAGTGTAAAATTTAGGTGTTTTTTTTTTTTAAACCACTTTTAACCTGGGTAAGGTCTACTTTGTCCTTGAAGGAGATGAAAACAAAAAAACGACAATAGGCAAGTAAAGTGTAAGAACCTCAGTTTCCTCATCTGTAAATGACAATAAAACTGACACTTCCAACCTCATATGATGGACTGTTGAAAGACAAGTGCCTGACTAAATTTAAAGAATCATATAAATGTGAGCTATACACTCAAGTGAACAGTACCTTGCTTTTCTATCCTAGAGGTTGATCTGGTCCCTGCTTCATCATTATATGAATCTCACAATGCTGTTACATGGATAACTACTGAGTAATAATTACTGAGCATCATTCTCTTTTCCTAAGTATCTTTCTAATTTGCTATGTTTCTTTTAAAGTTTTATTGCTCTAACTTTTCTCCTAACCACCAGATTCATATCTTCAACTGCCTACTGGATATCCCATAGACATCATAAACTGAACATGTCCAAAACTGAATTCATTATCTCCACTACCACCTCCCTCCTCCAAACTTCCTTATCATTTTCAAGGGCACCACAATTGTTCTAGTCACCCAGCCTAAAAATCTAGATCTTATCCTTGACTCCTCTCTCTCTTCCCCATATCTATTCTGGTGCCAAGGTCTGACAATTTTACCTCCATAACATCTCTCTTATATGCTCCCTTCTCCCTTCTGATACTGCTACCACCCTGGTAAAGCCCCTCATCAGCTCAGGTTCACTCACTTTCACCCCAATCTAATCAGTTGCCAAATCTTGTTTCTATAGCCACAGTATCTCTTACATCCAATCCCTTTCTACTTAGATGACCAACACCCATTTTTTAGGCCTTTATCACTTCTGGCCTAGACAACTATAATAACTGCATTAATTGTTTCCCCGGCCTCAAGGCTCTCTGCTCTCCAATCCACATAGTTGGTCAAACGATTTTTCCTAAAGTTCAGATCTGACCATGTCACTCCTCTACTCAATGAACTTCAATGGTTCTCAGTTGCCCCTCGGATCAAATATAAGCTCCTCTGGCTTTTAAAAGGCATTTTACAACCTAATCAAAACCTATTTTTTAAGTATCATTATTTATTATTGCCTCTCTCACACTCCACAGTCCATCCAAACTGGACTATTTGCAATTCCTCACACATAAGACTACATCTCTGGGTCATTGCACTGGCTCTCCCTCATGCCTGGAATGCATTCTCATCTCACCTTCACCTCTTAGAATCAATACCTTGCTTCTTTTCAAAACTCTCCTCAAGTGCCACCTTCTACATGAAGCCTTTCCTGATGCAAACAGATACTAATGCCCTAGCCTCCTTCCCCCTCCTCCAAAAACATACTGTTTTTGTTTTGTATATATTTGTTTATGTATATATTGTCCCTTCAAATGAATTTAAGCTTCCTGAGTACAAGTTCTACATCACTTTTGCGTCTGTATACCCTAGCACAATTCTTGGCATATATTAGGTGCTTAATAAATGCTTGATGATTGACTAATAATTGGGGGACAAAACAACAGTCTGCTATGATGAATGGAAAGGATTTGAAGATTATATTTCCTTTTAGTGGTCTTTCAACTTTTTAGATTCTATGAATTACAGTTTATTTTGTAATATTAAGGGAGGAGACTATAAAATAGAAAAAGCAAGTTTATCTAATCTGCATCTGATAGAAAAAGAAACTGTGTTGATGGGCATGCAAAGAATTGGAGAATTAGTTTTAATCTATCTTTCCTAAGAAAAATCTCAAATCTATGCTCTAGCTGAGAGTAGGAAAACAAATACGAACAGAATATTTGATAGCTATTGGTTATTACTTTAATAACTTCTTTATCCCCAACAGTATGTCATTTAAATTTGATTTTTTTTGAAACAATAACAGAAAATTTATATAGTTGAGCAATATTTTAATACTGAAAAACATTTGATTTTGCCATGCTGGGCAAGAAAGAGAATGAAAACAGGGTATGCAAGGCTCATTTCTGAGTCACTGGCACTTTTTCCACAAATACGATGATAAGTCTGTATGATTAATAATCAAAAAGCATGATACTACAAATTTTAAGTTCATAAGATTACAACTCAATTGAAATGCTTTTAAAAGTATTCACTGCTGAAGTAATCATATTTATTTGTCTTCTAAAATGCCAATATTTTGAAATAGAAGACAGAATTGATTTTGGTATCCCCTTTCACTGAAAACATCGAATGGCTTCATACTACCTTCTGACTTCCTGGAACTCTCTTCTCTCCTTTCCTCCCCCAACATCACACCTGAAGTTCACATCTCAGAATTCAGACCTATCTACAACCTCCCATCAAAATACATGTATTTGATGTGGTTCACTTTCTTAACATTCTAATTTCTCTTTTGGGTGACATAAAGCTACAACTTTATGTCATCCAATATATTACATATATTTGTTAACATTTACCTTCCCAAATAACCCATATTTTAACAAGGACTTATGAACTCATGACTTTAATCAATAAAACAGATTTTAGGAAATTTCAAACACCTACAGGCCAATAAGAGAAAGATTTTGGGACAGGAATAGCTTTTTTTCTGCTCTTCAGACTGTCACAAGTATATACAACAATTTAGGTTTAAGCAGTAATACAAAAACAAACAGGAAACAAACAGAGGAAAAGGTGAACTATTTGTTGTTAGATTTTCTTTTTTTTTTTTCATAGGCAATTGGGGTTAAGTGACTTGCCCAGGGTCACACAGCTAGTAAGTGTCAAGTGTCTGGTCTGAGGCTGGATATGAACTCAAGTCCTCCTGACTCTGGGGCCAGTGCTCTATCCACTGAGCCACCTAGCTGCCCCTTGTTGTTAGATTTTTAAGCAACTAACTAAACCTCTTAGAGGTCAAATTCCTTTATCTAGAATTAACCACAATCAACAAATTAGAAATATATACACAGAAGGAGCAGAGAGAATAAGTTTCACTTGAACTTCATTTTCATCTAAATTGGTCAAAAGAGGGGACACACA